AATTTCAAACCCATTCTAGCTGTATGTAATGAAATTTGAAAATTGAATACCACTTTTCCCAGTTGTCCCTAGATGGCACAATACCTTTTAGTCAAAACCAAAATTCATAGCAGTCCAGTCGATTTTGACTTCTAATCACTCGATAGGACAGGGTAGAACTACCCACTAGGGTTTCCAAGGCTGTAATGTTTATGGAAGCAGACTGCCACATCTTTCTCCTTTGGAGAAGCTGGTGGGTTCCAACCGCCAACCTTTGGTTAGCAGCCGAGTTCTTCAGCCATTGTGCCACCAGGGCTCTTCCCCTTTCAGTCACAGGGTGTGATTTCCCCTTACATTTCAAATATTTCTTTAGACAATGCTATCAAGTCACCAGGGGGGCCATTTCTTCCTCTAAGGCTATATTCTTGAGGTTCAGACATTAGACAGTGTGGTAATTAAGTTTGTGTGTCAACTTGGCAGGGCCTGGTTGAATGATTGGGCAGCTGGATGTAGTTATTCCCAAAGGTGAGATTGGCAATGAACTCCATGGTGCAATCTACTGGAGCAGCTGAGTAGCTGATTTAGTGATGAGATATGCTTCCAGTGTATAAGAAGCATCTCTGAGGATGGTCTCTAGCTTTTTTGGCATGCTTGAATCCTGCATGTAGCCAAGTTGTTGTTCAGCAGCCTGACTTGCCCTGCCAATCTTGGGACTTGAATTAGTAGCCTGCCGGGTTGGTTGGTAATATTGGGACTGTGCCTTTCTACTTGTTGACCTTGGCTTTGTCAGCCTCAGCAGCCAGCAGCTGTCTGAGTGAAGAAAAGCTTCCAGCTTCAGTGGGCCAGGAGCAGGAGGCAGAGCTGAAGCACAAGATTGAGGGGCTTTCACCCATCCCCTAGCGCCTGGCACTTTGAACTTGAACTTCTAGCCTCCAGACTATAAGAGAATAAACTCCTGTTTGTTAAAGCCATCCCATTTGTGGTATATTCTTGTCAGAGCAGCACGAGGTAACCAGAACAGATGGTATTTTGGAGATTTCCTGGGAAACCAAGAGTGGCCTATCACTGTCACAAATCTCCTCTTTGTGGAGCATTCTGAGGAACCTCAATAACAATTCTAAGAGTCAGTTTTGGATGTTTTTCAGAAATATAAAATAACTTTTTCTTTTGAGGTTTATGTCAAATTGCCTACATGCCATTTAGATTTTGCCATAGAGGCACACCCCTAGCATAGGACATAAGAGGTGTTTGAGGCTGCAGTGACATTTTCATTTTCATTAGAACAGTTCCAACGTATAGGTGGGAATTTCTCCAAAGCTATTTGTTTATAGCTGTGGAGCATGCAAGCTTGGTTCTTCCCTGTCTCCTGGTAACCAGCAACCTATCTAATCTCCTATAAACGCCTTTCTGCTTAAATTCACTCAAGTGGAAATCATTGTCTGTGCCCAATAAATATGTGTTGAGTAGACTGAATTACTGCAACTAAGAGGCCTGATTGATGGGGATGCTCTCAGCAGAGCGGAATTTTGAGGCATTTCAGAATAAAAGAAAGATCTAAAGATCCCACTGATGGAAACACACTCAGCTTCAGAGGACCAAGCTGCTCTGAGAGGTGGCGGCTTCTCCAGCAACTGCTGCAGTCCTAGAGGGGCTGGAGGAAGCTCACTGAGAGAGGCCTGGAGGGCTGTGTTGAGACACTGGCTAAGCAGTCACACTGAACAGAGTTCCTGATTCCTCTCCGTCCTCACCCTATCCCCCAACCACTCCTTCTAAGCATCAATCAGTTGAGACATTTGTACTCAGGGTAGAATAATAAGGGCATGTTTGGGGCTGGAGTGGTAGAACAGTGCCACCGATAGCAAAGGACATGCAGGAGCAGTGGGGAACTCTCCTGCCCTAAAGATTAGCACATCCTGGAGCACAGGGTACAGCGAACGGAAATGGCATCCACTCGAAGGCTAGGAGGGAGTTTTAAAATAGTAACTCCTTTCTTCTCTTGCCACTGAGTCGCTTCCAACTCATAGTGACCCTGTAGAACAGGGTAGAACAGCCCCATAGGCTTCCTATGGGGACTGCCATATCTTTCTCCAGCAGAACAGCTGGTGAGTTCGAATTGCTGAGCTTTCAGTTAGCAGCTTAGCGCTTAACAGCTGTACCACCAGGGCTCCCTTGAAAAGATAAAGCTGCTATCAAGAATCACCAATCATGTAAGAAGGGCAACACCATGAACTGAAACTAAGGGATATGAACTGAAGCAGTTAGAGATCTTGGAGATTAAAAATATGATCACCTTTGATATATGGCTTAAAGAGAAGAAAGGACATAACTGAGCAACAACTAACACCATGCATTTTAGGAAAGTCTGCAATGTGTGAAAATAAATAAATAAATAATAGCCTTAGCTAAAGTAGAGGTAATTCTGGTCACAGAACTAAAATATAAACAAAAAAGAATCAACTCCTAGTATTTGCAATTTGAGGAGCCATTATATACATAAAATAATAACAGAATGCTAGTGCATTCTGAATAGTCAGAACAAAAGCAACTCTTGGAAATTAAAAGTAAGATTTCAAAACAAAGTTGAAGTCTACCAGAAAGTAGATAAAAATGAGAGAGGAAATAAGAGAGAGAGAGAGAGAGGAAGTATGAATGAAAACATGAGACACAGAAGATCAACCAAACCATCAAACCAAACCAAACTCATTACCACTGAGTGGATTCCAACTCATAGCAACCTCCACTAGGTTTCCAAGGCTTTAAATCTTTATGGAAGTAGATTGCCCCATCTTCCTTCCGAGGAGTGGCTTTTGGGTTTGGACCATCGACCTTCTGATTAGCAGCCAAATGCCTGCTCACAATGCCACCAGAGTTCCTTACCAACCAATCGAGAAGGACTCATATCTGACTAATAATTGTGCTCTAAAACGATAACAAAGAAAATGTTAGAGGAAATTATTAAAGAAATAATACAAGAAAATGTCTCAAAGCTCAAAGCAAAATCCTCAAAGTGAAAAAAGTCCACTGAAAGCCCAGTGCAATAAATCAAAAGAGACCCATAACTTAGACATATCATGAACTTTCAGGATGCTAATAATAAACCGATTTTAAAAGCTCAGTGGAAGGGAAAAGAAAGAGGTCTCCTAGAAGGGAAGAAGTATCAACCTAACACCAGTCTTCTAAGCAGCAAAATGGGAAGCCAGGGAAAAATTAAAGCAATGTCTTTAAGGTTCTGAGAATAAATAGCTTTTTACATAAAAGTGGATACGACTCCTACCTTTCTCTTCAATTTGATCTTTCCAGCTAAAACCAAAAACAAATCATTTGATATGTTACATAGCCTAGTATTTAATAGTGAGCACTCTGGTGTTAGACTGCCTTTGCTTGAATGCTGGCTTCAATTCTTACTAGGTGTGTGACCCAGGGAAAATTACACTATCCATAAAATAATAACAGAATCTATTTCATAGGGTTGTTATGAGGATTAAATGAGTATAAGGATATGTAGATATGCAGATGACACAACCTTGCTTTTTGAAAATGAAGACAACTTGAGGCACTAAGGAAGGTTAAAAACTACATACAGCCTTCAGTATGGCTTATACCTGTATGTGAGGAAAACAGAATCTTCACAACTGGACCAATAAACAACATCATAATAAATGGAAAAAATATTGAAGCTGTCAAGACTTTTATTCTACTGGGATCAACAGTCAACAGCCACGGAAGCAGCAGTCAAGAAACCAAACAACATATTGCACTGGGCAAATCTGCAAAAGCCCTCTTTAAAGTTTTAAAAAGCAAAGATGTCATTTTGATGATTAAAGTGTGCTTGACCCAAGCTATGGTCCTTTGAATGGTTGTTATATATATATGAAATAGGATAGTGAAAAAGGAAGACAGAAAAGTTGATGTGCTCCAACTGTGGAGTTGGCAGAGAATATTGGATGCCAAAGAACATGGACTGTCAAAAGGAGGAGAAATAGCTTAGGACCAGAGCACCTTAGATGCAGGCGGACCAGACTTTGCCCCACTTACTTTGGCTATGTCATCAGGAGAGACCAATTGCTAGGAAAGGATTTTTTGCTTGGTAGTCAGCAATAATGAGGGAAACTCTCAGTGACATGCGTTAACTCAAGTCACAACAGTGGACTCCAACATACCAACTCTCATCAAGATGGCACAGGATTGGATAAGGCTTTGTTCTGTTACACAGAGAAAACTCAAAGGCAAGTGACAATCTATCCCTTGCCTGGCTCATAAGGTATTACATATCAACTACTGTTATCGCCTCTTTCAACTAATGAAATTGCACCTGCTCACTGTGAGTCAGAACCGACTGAATGACAGTAGGTTTGATTTTTGGTTGTTTTGGTTCCTCTGCATCCAACAGGCCAGTCATCTCTCACCATGTGGCTAAACCCTAATTTTCTTTCAATTCAGTTTAGAAGGTACATCTAATCTATCAAGTTTTCTTGCCCCACCCATTTCATTTGCCTCCAGAATGTCTTATGTAAACGTCTTTGTCACTTTAACTACTGTTTGTGTTTGTCACTGGGCTGTGAGCTTCCCGAAGGTACGGACGGTGCCTTCATCATTTAATGCACAACTTCAAGACAGGTGCACAGCTCCTAGTGATTGCATGGAGAGTGCCGGTAAGTAATGAAGCAGACCCATTAATAAATGCTCTTAAAAATATCTTCGTCTCATAAGCAACAAGACTATGCCGGAAATATTTCTTGCTTAAGACCTCAGGCAGTAACAACGAACCCCGAAAAAAGAGGCCTCACTTTCCCAACAGAAGAAACACCAGGTACTAGGATCGCGGCGGAATACAATTTTTGAGACGCAGTATGCGCTTGCGCTCATCATCTCTTCAAGTGCGCCTGCGCGGCTGAAGGCCGCGTGAGGCGCCTCAGCAGAGAACAGAGGTACAGTTCGTGTTTTAGGATTGGGCGGTGGAGGCCAAAACGGGCTGCACGGAAATGACGTCATGGGGCGCAGCCGTAGTCCCCGCCGCGCGGTGGCTGCTGGGTACTGCATGCCGTCCTTCCTTTGCTTCTCCCCTCCCTGCTCTCCGTCTCCACCCCCTCCGGTCGCTCTGCTCCCCGGCGTGACTCGGCACTGAGAGCGCCGGGAGAAAGGCCGCGGTCTCCACCTCGTCTGTCCAGGCCTCAGCCTTCTATAGCTTCCTCCTTCTCTGCCGAGCCTTCTTCCCCTTCAGTTTTGAAGTCAGGGGCGTCGCCGCCGCCCTGCTGGGCTTTCTGTGAGGATGGTGGGAGTGAAGCCGGTCGGGAGCGACCCGGATTTCCAGCCGGAGCTAAGCGGCGCGGGCTCCAGACTCACCGTGGTCAAATTCACCATGAGAGGGTGAGGCCGGGTCCGAGCTCTGCGTGTCTGCCCGTCTGTCTCTCCGGGCTTTCCTTTCGTTCTTAGCTGTTCACGGCTCCCTTGCTGCACCCTGCTCCCGAATGTCCGGCGCTGGCCACAGTCCCAGCTCGCCGCTCCCAGGATTAGGCCTCAGATCTCGGACGTGAGCCCCGATTTGTGCAGAAGGGGTTCCCAGGCGGGTGTGGAGCCCTTGCCGGCCACCTTCCCCAGCCCTGAAGACCCCCGCCCGCCCTTTCTGAATTCTGGGATGAGCTCTGCTTTGGGGTGGCCCAGTTCTATCCCTTCTTGCTGTAAGATGATCGCTTGCCGCCCCTGTTTGCATATGTCCCCTTTTTCCCCGGAGCCAGCTGTCACTTGCATCTTAAAACCCAAAGCCAAACCGATTGCTATCAAGTCAGGTCCACCACATAGTAGCCACTTAGGACACAGTTGAACTGCCGCGTAGAGTTTCCAAGGCTGTCATCTTTATGGAAGCAGACTGCCACATCTTTCTCCCGCCGAGCCTCAGATCGTTTGGAACCGCCCCGTTCGGGTCTTTAACCACTGCTCCACCAGGGGTCCACTTGCATTTTAGAAACTACAAAAGCTTCATTTCCTGATCTCTTTGATTCTGTTTATCAACCCGTATTTCTGTAAAGCCTTGGGAAGATTCAAATGGGGCTGGGTAGTGGTTAGTCCCAAAGCTCAGTTAATGCATTTTGAGTTAAGCTAAGGTCGAGTGAGGATCTGTCTTAGTTCTCTAATGCGGCTGCAATAGAAATAGCACAAATGCATGGCAGTAACAAATTTATTTTCTTGTAGTTTAGGAGGCTGGAAGTTGTAATTTAGGGTGCCAGCTCTAGGGGAAGACTTTCTCTCACTGTGAGGTCGGGGGGGAAGGTCTTGTTTTTTTTTTCAGCATCTGTGGGCCCAGCATTCTTTGGAGATCTCATGTGTCTTGGCATCAATCTTCCCCTCGTTTTAGGAGGGTCTCAGTGTAGGGACACGCACCACCCTTTTTTTCTTGGTGGTAGTTAGGTCCCTCTCTCTCTTCTCTCTTACTCTTCTTGTAAAGCCACACCCCAGGGAAACTACCCCTTACGTGGAATCGGGGCTGTGACCTGAGTAAGAGTGTTACTTCCTAATCTTTTCACAACTGAGTGGCTGATCACATCATGTGGAATGATTATATAATTACGTAACTGCCAAATTGCATCATTACGTAATTGCCAAACCACTGAGAAGTGTGGCCCAGCCAAGTTGACACATGTTTTTTGGGGACCACAGTTCAGCCCATGACAGAAAACTTGGTAATTTATGTAATGTGTTTGGCTTAGTAACTTTGCAACTTAGGCTTCCCTATATTGTGCTAACCAGACGGCTGGCGGTTCAAACCCACCAGCCACACCTTGGAAGGAAGGTTGGGCAATCCTACTTCCGTGTTACTGCCTCGGAAACCCAAGGAGGGGTCGCTATGAGTCGGGGCCGACTCGGCGGCACATAACAACAACAACAACAACATATTTGTGATTGCAGAAATTATAGTAGATATACATCACAGGTATAGACAAGTGGCTAGACAGACAGACTTCATTTTTGACTTGATGTAAGAGGATTTCATGGAGTTAGTAGATTTTCCACATTGATTGTGTAATGTTCCTGTCGAAGCTAAGCATTCTGAACCAAGATTTCAGCCAGTGTTATGTTTACAGATTTTTTCTGTGGTATGTCAGAACCCAGTGACAAGGCTTAGAGGTCTCCATGTGATTTACTTTGAACACCCCCACCCCACCCCCATGTTACTGATGCATATACTTACTGGGAGAAGTCTATTATAGGTATCACTGTATATAAACGTATTTCCTTGTCCAACTGTACAACCATAAGGCAGTATTTTCAATCTCAGCCATAGTTCCTGGCACATGGTTCAGTAAATGTTAAGTTGTGGCATTAGGATTAGTTTTGTTGTTGTTGTTGTTGTTAAGTGCCATCGAGTCAGCCCTGACTCATAGCGACCCCTCCTTGGGTTTCCAAGGCAGTATCACAACAGAAGTAGATTGCCCAACCATCCTTCCGAGGAGTGGCTGGTGGGTTTGAACCACCAGCCTTCTCTGGTTAGCAGTCAAGTGCCTTAGGCACTATGCTACCAGTTTTAGGAGAGGGAAAATAATCAATGCCCACGGATGTAGCAGTCAAGAAATCAAAGACGGTACTGCAGTGGGCATATCTACTGCAAAAGACCCCTTTAAAGTGTTAAAGAACAAAGATGTCACTTTGATGAGTAAGGTGTGCCTGACCCACACAGGGTGTCCTCAGTAGCCTCGTGTCTCTGTAAGAGCTGGACAGTGAATGAGGAAGATGGCAGAAGAATTGCTGCATTTGTATTGTGGTCTTAGCAAAGAATATTGACTGCACCAGGGACTGCTGGGTGAAAACAGATCTGACTGGAGGGGACTACAACTGAAATACTCTTCAGAAGTGAGAGTGACCAGACTGCCTCTCGAACTTGGGTCATGTTGTCGAAAGGGACTATTCCCTGGAGAAGGGTACATGATTGGTAAAGTAGAGGGTCAGCAGAAAAGGGGAAGGCCCTTGTGAGATGGACTGACACAGTGGCTGCAATGATGGGCTCAAGCACAGTGACGATTATGAGGATGGCACTGAACCAGGCAGTGTTGTGTTCTGTTGTATGTAGGGTCACTGTGAGTCAGAACTGACTCGATGACGTCTGACAGCAGTGGGGGCGGAGGGATGAAGATGCGAGTAAGTTAAGACTTATTTTTGGATCAGTATCTCATACAGAATTGGAAAAGAGTGATAAATTGGATGTGATAGGAGTGCCAAACCAAAACCAAACCTACTACCGGTGAGTCAATTCCAATTCATAGTGACCCTGTAGGACAGAGTAGAACTGCCTCATAGGATTTCCAAGGCTGTGAATCTGTACATAATGAGGCTGCCTTGTGTTTCTCCTGCAGAGTGGCTAGTGGGCTCAAACTGCCAATTTATTGCACCACCAGAGCTCCTAGAGGGTGGGATAGAATACCCATATAATGTGGACTTACGCATTTACTAAATTTAAGTAGATCAATTTTTCACATACATTCCAAAACCAAAACCAAACTCACTGCTGTCGAGTCAATTCTGACCCATAGCGACCCCCTCCTTGGGTTTCTGAGGTAATATCTCAATGAAAGTAGGTTGCCCAGTCTTCCTTCTGAGGAGTGACCAGTGGGTTTGAACTGCCAGCCTTCTGGGTAGTAGTCAGATGCCTTAGGCACTGTGCCACCAGAGCTCCCTTCACATAGATTAAAACATGACTCGATGGCACACAACAACAACAACAACAAAAAGAAATGACAGAATTCTGTGTGTCTTTGCAATTTTAGCCATTTTGTAATGTCTGTAGTGGTACGATAGTTAAGCACTTGGCTGCTAACTGAATTGTTGGTAGTTCGAACCTGCCAGCTAGCCACTCTTGGGGAGAAAAATGTGACCGTCTACTTCCATAAAGATTACAGCCTTGGCAACTTTATGGGACAGTCCAATTTTGCTCTGTAAGGTTAAAATAGAGGAGCTCTCCGTATTGCCTAAGACATTTGACTGCAAACCAGAAGGGTTGACATTTCAAACCCACCAGGCAATCCATGGAAGGAAGACTGGGTAATTTACTTCTGTAAAGGTTTACCACATTGGAAACCCAAAGGGAGTCACTGTGAGTTGGAATTGACTCAGTGGCAATGAATGAGTTAAGTTAAAATTGACTAGAAGGCAAATGTTTTGTTTTTTAATATATATTCTTAATGCAGGGGAAAACTTGTACCTAAGGTAAATTAAAATAGGGAAGAGACGATTTCTGGCAAGGTATCCTTTAAGTTCACATTTCCAATTCTGGTCAATAAGAGCCTTTACATTTATATACTACAGTGATGGACTCTTTTTCTTACCAAAGGAGAGGGTGAGATGATAGGGTAATAAATACATCATGTATTGATGGAAGCAAGGAAAGTAGAGGAACATTGCCACTAAGGAAGAACTCTTCTGTCAGTAATGTGTCTTTTAAGGAAAAACGTAACTGCACACATGATTGGTAAAGAACTGTGTTACTATTTTTGAGAAAATAGTTTGATGGAGTGCAAGTTTTATTTTCTTTGTAAAAATGTAATGAAAAGTGAAGTGTTTGCAGTTACAGGAATTTTAAATTTAAAGGGACTCTTGGGAGTCCCCATGGTGCCGCATTTCTGACCTGTTGGCTACAAATTTGGTGCTTCTTCAACCCCATCAGGATACCAGCTGTAAGCTCAAGGATTTCAAGTGCTCCTCACATCTAACCTGTTGGCTCCCATTACTTGGGTTTGATAATTTACTAGCACAACTCTCAGTACTAAGGGAAGGTGCTATATCTAATTGTTGTTGTTGTTGTTGTTATGTGCTGTCAAGTTGGACCCAACTCATAGCGACCGCTCCTTGGGTTTCCGAGGCATTATCACTACGGAAGTAGATTGCCCGACCATACTTAATTACTATAGTTTTATTGTAAAGGATACAAATGAAGAGATGTATAGGGTGAGGGCTGGGATGGTTCCCAACACTGAGTATCCATGTCCAAAAATGGGATGTGCTACTCTCCCATTTACAACAATGTCTTTAACCAGAAAGCCCAGGGAGCTACCATGTCCATACCCTTTATTGGGGCTTTATTTCATAGGCATGATTGCTAGAGTCAGTCACACTTGGTGGTTTTTCTGGCTTTATATTTATAAGCATAATCCAAGTAGCTGGACTATATGAAGAAAAAGTGGTGTCAGGATTGGAGGAAGAGTCATTAACACCCTGTGATACACAGATGACACAACTTTGCTTGCTGAAAGTGAAGATGACCTGAAGCACTTACTGATGAAGATTAAAGACTGCAGTATGGATTACACCTCAACATAAATGAAAATCTTCACAACTGGACCAAAAAGCAGCATGATGATAAATGGAGAAAATATTGAAGT